CATGAAAATATTGCAAAAGCAATCAATTATCTATTTTCCCACTTAACGTTCATGATTTTCAATTGATAAATCAGATTTAATGATTGTGCAAAATTATCAAGAACTTGGCTTTCGTTATTAAAAATGATTACTTTAAAATCACTTGGATGAATTCATTCAAGTTCGTTTTATGAGAGTAGGTATATAATATATTATAAATAAATGGAAAATCACCTTGGAAGCAAATGAGTGAAGTCATCTAATCTTAAAATATGAATCCCATGAGTAGCATATATTTTCTCTATATCCTAAAAAAAACGACTAAATATTCAAAAATATTAATTCCTGTTAATCTTGAAATATAAATTAAATTAAAAAAAATATATATATATTACGAGTCTTACCCAAACAACTTCATCACGAAATGGTTGATCATAATAATCACAAACAGCAGCATAAGATCTACGAAAATTATGACATGGTAAATATGGTCGGCTGCTAGGCAAAAACCAAAATTCATCATATAAATTGGTCGGGCTTAATTCCAATAAATTCCTGTATGTATTTTACAAATATTAACATACAAGATAAATGGATGGAGGAAGAAATCTTTTTGTTATAGCCTATGTGGGATGCCATCGATATAATAACTCAAATTCATTTAATTTTTCAGTTAAGAAATGCAAATAATGCATTAAGAGATGTAAATTCATAAATCTTTTGAACATTCTTTATTTTTTCTACCTTAGATTTTGGGTAATATCCGGAAAATAATGCTTAAAAGCCGAAAGTACAGAAAGAGCAATATTTTTGGAACCATTTTCTAAACGAATGAAAATGCGCTTTTTGCCCAAAAAACTTTCATCGAGACCAAAGCACACCTAAAAAGATTATTTTGAGAATGACTAACAGGTTAATAAACATTTGTCTCAATTACGATAGGAGATAATTATAATATTTGCTCTTCTTTAATAGATAACCATAAAGCCAATTTATAACACTTCGATAACAATTTTGATATTATGAAACAATTTAATTGCTATTCACTCCACTGATGACTGGATTCGTTATTTCAATGTATGTAATACCATATCTGAATATTTGGCAGATTACTTCATAATTGATGGCGTCTCAAAGTTTCAAGAAATAATGATCAGCTGCTTAATGATGGTGAAAAAATAATGATAAATAATTACTTCATTATCGTTAACAATTTGAACCACACGTATTGACAAAATATGGAAGGTTCGATCAATTTTCAACGAAGATGGTGTTTTCCCATGTAATATGAAGACTCGAAATTTTGATAATGCAAAGATTCGACTCTCAAACTTATCTGCTTTTGTACCATACTCTATGCTACACGCCAATCGGCAATCCCAAAACTTTGATCCGAATATGGAATTACATTTCTCTGTAATGACAAGAAATATGACTTAAACGATCCAATTGATTCATCTCTTTGTGGCCTTTCTATCACCTTTCGTACCAACAAAACAAATATATAATCACTCAGTATCTGCTTATCCATTGTTTAATGTACAATATTCTTTTTTTATATGAAAAATTACATATATTGTCGATAAAGGGACATTCAGTACAAAATAACTGTTAGTACAGTTCTGAGTAATTTTTCCAAAATACAAAGTTTAATTTTAGAATTAAAAAAATTGAAGCATATAATTTATTTGCTTCCTATTTCTTTCAGTTAAACATAAACATGTGATACCTTGAACATAGCTGCATAATTCGGCGTGTACACCTCGTGAAAGCGACATGTTTTAGATGGTTCCCACCCTTTACATACTCATTTGCTTTACACTGTTACTTATCTCACAACCTAAAATCGATATTTATGGAAGTTGTAGCACAATGTGGTGTAAAATTTTATGGAATTTGTAGAACTATACACGCTCCAACGCGACCAATAGTATTTTCCTTGTACTCATAGCAGTGGATGTGGATAGGGAAAACAAAATCATAAGTACTTAAATGGAAAAGAACCGATGAAAAGCAATGAAGGTATGAATACCCGAAAACTATCTAACGACAGGCCAGAACGTATTGAAACGCATGTAAGCAATGCGACATTGATGTTCTAAAATTAAGCATAAAACTCGGACATTCGACGTTATGATGTGAAGCGTGATCATTCCATACAACAGGAAGCATAGCAAGCAGTTAAAAAAAGCACTGCAAAATATGCTTAAGGATGTTTCTAGCTGTCACTAGTACTGAGATGGAGCGATAAGCAGACTATCACATTATCCTGTTATCAGAAAGATCACAATTAATTTATGCCAACTGTAGTGTTTATTAGCTTAACTTTTTCTTTTTTTTTCATATTTCCTCTTATTCCTATTCCCTCTCATTTCTATCTCCTCTCATTCTTATTGTATCGATTTTTTTCCTCAACTTCATTTTTTTCAAATAGTAAACTTTTTGAAATAGTAAAATTTTTCAATAGTAAACTAAATCAAAGTACACGCTGCAAGATTGCTGGAATTGCGAAATTTTATAATTGGTGTCTCACATTATACGTAATATTACTATCCATATGTTACCCACATCCTCCCATTTCAAAAACATCTCCCTCAGACCCGGGATCACTTAATAACTCCCTCCCTGATGTGTCATCACATCAAGATGGCTGCAGAACTCGCATGAAAGTCACTGCTGCAACGCTATTCCTATGGGAAGGCACTTTTCTAGATGTAAGGAGTCATTGGGCGTCTTGTTAGTGTCAGCTTTTTGTTTGGTTAGAGCTTTATAATTATTAATATCTTCAGAATTACATGCGTCATTTTCACGTCAATTGAACGTTTTAGACTGAGATTTCCTGGAAGTTTTTTTTTTGTCTGGCTGGATTTTTGTCTTCTATTGATGAATCGGAATGAGGTATTTTCATAGTATAAAAATATTAGTAGGTTGTGTTGCTTGGTGTGTTTCGATTGTTCCAATTATCTTCATTTTTCTTTGGATTCTTTTAACATTACATTAAACTGCCCCTGTCATTATTGGTATGTATTCCGTTTTGGCTTTCCCATATTCATCAAACGTTGTTCTTTTATGTGGCCAGAAGTTAGATTTTTGCGGAATATTGATACCAGGATAAGCTCTGCGATGGTTTAGTGATCATCGGAAATTTTCAGAAAAAGAATTGTTTTGGATCATTTTTCCTATTCGTTTTTTGATCTCTACGTTGGCCTGTCATCAAGTATACTAACATGAAATAGATATACGCCTTTTTTGACACTGACCCACATACGCATATTTTTGCTCGATTGTGTGTGCCTGCAGATTTGATTGAATATTGATACTATATTTCAGTATGAAATTCGCTTGTCATGATAGTATCATACAGTGAAATTCGATGGCACTGAAAAGATAAAATGTCATTTAAATGGCCATGGCAGTATGAATTTCCACCATTTTTCACGTCAGTTAATCAAAGAAACAATAAAAATAAAATTATGAAAGAATTCATTTTTAGGGTTTCTTTTTAAAATAGTTTTGGAGAGAATTTTTTTAATACTAGTTAATGTATACTTTATGATAACAAAAACTTTCGAACTATTCAAAAATTCCCGAGGTCAGTAATAATACCCTTACGCCATAGTGCTGCTTTAAGTCCTATGATTCTGTTCTTATTGTCGAGCAACAAATTTTATACCTGTAATACTCATTACTTTGGTTGTTTGATTCCTCCTCCAACAAAACATATTTTCTAATAGTCATAGTTATGCTTTTGAGTGTAAATAAATATTTCGGTAGATAAAACCATAATAGACTATATTTCATCACCCTCTTGCTTCTATTATATTCATTTTATTCTAGCTTACAAACTACATTAGTAACTCGTGAAAAGCAATTGGAAGCTTGGAGTCGATTGGTCGTTGACTATTGTCAATTTCATAAAATTTATACAGTAAACTTGGCAGATATATCAAATTCGGAATTGTTCGTTAATAGCACCCTCAACCGGAAGTTGCCGCTAGACGGTGTACGAATAGTGTTCGATTATCTCGAACATAAAAGTAGGTGACGTTGGCAACGTTTCCTTACAAGCTTGTTCGTTTATTATCGTTTGAAAGTATATCTTTATACAAAAGTCTTTTAACTAATCAAGCACAAATAATGCTAGCCCGTTTTCTTACTCCTTTCGTTGATCCTTCTGCTTATAACGTAATTTTAGTGCAAACAACACTGAGTGAACGTAATTTTCATAAAATTTTTAGGGAAATTAACATTTGCATAAAAAATCTGATTTGCAGGACATATTGATTGGTTAGATAAAAGCAAAGACCGGTGTCACATCTATTGGAGGCGTCCAGAGGAGTGGGCCATACTGATATACGAGTGGGCAGTAAGTAACAGTTTACTCAACACGCCGTGTACTTTGTACGAAATAACACAAGGGGACGACGTTACACAAGAATGTCAGTTGGACGCGTATTTTTTCAGTTTTTTATCTCAAGTATAAATTTCATAGCACTACACAAAGAGATGAAAGATTAGAATATTAATAATCGGATATATAAGGTAAATGTTACAAGGTTATGTGCAAACAAGATGGGAACTTTGACTATCGTATGTGTGATTTCTAAAGGCAAAAATTGAATTTAAAGGTTTTTATTGAATCAGAAAATAGTTTGAGCAGTGAAAAATTGAACTTTGTTTCCATGCCAAGTGGTTTGCGACAGAGGAATCAATCGGTTAATTTGATAAGTTCAAGAATTAGTTGTTGAAGTTTTAAATAAATTTACTTTTCTTAGAGAAATTCCTATTTAGTATTCATTTCAATTGTAGCTTTTTACGGTCTGGATAAAGACGTATTGTTGAAGTCCTTAGCAGTTCTTGTTGAACAACGTCGTGCTCAATTATTGAATAGTGGAACCGGAACAGAAGGCGTAAAATTTCTACAGTAAGACGACTCCGTAAGTTCAGTTTTGGCGTATTTGAAAAGAAAGTCTGGCATAAAATGATCTTATCAGAAACTTAGTTTATTCTATTACAGAAAAATGATGAATGGAACTGATTGCACGCTCGGAAAAGTAGACAACAAAGTAAGTTGAATTGTCTAACTTTTTTTAAAATAACGTTAGCGTTCTTGAAATAACAAAAATAGTTAACGTTCCATTTTTTTTCGAGTTTGTACCAGTTTTTTTTATAACTTTGAGCACGAAAGTTTTTAAAATAAGCAAATAAACTTATTCATATTAAGATTGCAGACATGCTTCGGAAAAATTCATTATCCTTCGTTATTTGCGATATTTTTGCAACTGCTGCTTTTTTCAGCTTATTGTGAACAATACGGGTTCCGGTTTTTTAAGTAATAAAGAAATAATTGAAGAAGGTGACACCGTAATTATTTATGTCAATTACGGAACGTCTTATGCAGTGGAAGTGAAGCGTGGTCTCATTCTCACAATGAGATATGGTGCTTTGAAGCATGAATATCTTATAGGGAAACGGTGAGTTAAATTGGTTGTTAGTTAGTTACTTTAAAATGGAAATAGGTTGAAGGATGTTTAGAAGTTGATGATTTATTCAATATCATGTGTTATCAAAATATTATTTAAAGTTAAGTATGCTTTCATTAACACTGGCATCGTGTCGGAAATATGATGGATAATCTTCTTGGCTCGAAATTAAAGTTTTTGGAGAAAATACCTCAAATTTTATTTCTAGTTATGGATCTCGTATTAGTGCTACAGCGGGCTATGTTTATGTATTACGTCCCAATGCAGAAATGTGGACTCGTGCTTTACTTCGTCGAACACAGATTATCTATACACCCGATTCCGCACTAATTCTGATGCTGTTAGATGTTAAACCAGGATCGGTGAGTTTTCGTATATTCACATATATTCTTTTTGGGGTGGCTTTTGTATTGATTGTCATAAAAAGTTACAGATAGTTTGTGAATGTGGTACGGGAAGTGGCTCGCTTTCGCATGCACTAGCAATGGCTATTGCACCCACGGGACACTTATATACGCACGATATTGAAGAGCCAAGGGTCAAACAGGTCGAGCTTGAGATGATGGTTAGTATTATTATTGCATGTAAAGTCGTTTTTTCTCTATAAAAATTATTTCCAATCTCCGAAATCGAATAATGTTCCGCAAACTAGTTAATTTCATCTTTTATTATTCATTTGACTTACGATTTCATCAAGAAGTTTATAGAAGCACGGATTAGGGGAAGTTACTACGTGTGTGCATCAAAATGTTATCGAAGACGGATTTTCTGTGGAAAATGCATGCGATGCTGTTTTTTTGGATCTTCCCGCTCCGTGGATTGCAATCAGACATGCAAAGCGTGCACTGAGTCAAATACATGGTGGACGTGTGGTCAGCTTCTCTCCCTGCATTGAACAGGTATTTCATTTTTCCTATAGAAAATAACCTGGACAGTAACTTCCTTAAAAATGCCGAAAAATTTGTTCATTTTTCTGCCAAGTAGAATAAAAGAAATAATTCCTGAATTCAACCTCCATAGAATTGTTTTCAGATCCAGAGAACATGTAGCGCTCTTCAGTGCGAGGGATTTGTGCAAATCAGTACGGTGGAATTAGTGCCGAGAAAGCTAAAAGTAATTATTTTTATTTGTTTAACTTTTACTCTTTGTATATGAAAGAGTATCCGCTATCAATAATAAATAGAGATAGAGCAAATGAGTTGTATTTGAACTGGGTTAGCCAGATGATGTATAGTTTTTTCAGATTTACTTGAGATTTCGAAAACATGTTCTAATGGTTAGGATTAGGCTTCATGACTGGCTTAGGTAAAAACAATAAGAAGAACGACGGTTTGGGGCATTTGTTTTGCATTATTATCTGTAACCTCAACGTATTTGGTGATCGGATGTTCCTGATTTCACGATGGTCTTTTTAATGAAGGCCTTCAGGTTATCTTCAGCACAACCTTGAATTGTTAAAACTTAATATTTATGGGAAGATGCTTGTATCCTATATAGTTTTCTTATTTCTGCATCGAATTGCAGTAGATGATCGGAGCTTTTTAGCTTTTCATTATCTCGATAATATCAATTCCAAGGTAAGGGTTGAAGTCCTGTCAACATTGTTTCACCTACACACTATGATCTCCTAATCTCGCTTTCATTGTCCATTGACATTAGCTCAAAGTAAATGGAATATTATAGATATTTAATGAGACTGAACAAAATAGCTGGAAAACGAAGAGAAAAGCGGGATGATGCACCATCTCATTCTAAAATTGGTTCATACTTTTATGAACTGAAAGGAGTACAACATTGAGTTTTACCGCATATTGATATTATCAATCCATGTTGCTCTTTCCGCTGTTATGCGATGCCGAGGTAGGGATGAAATGTGTTGGACAATGATGTTTTTTTTTTTTGTAACATATATTTTTTATATATATACAATTTTTCTATAATTTAATTTTATGTGTGCGATATAAATATGGAGACGCTGAAATCGTTTAATACGCGAAACATTCCTGTCAGTAAGAAAAGACATTCGCAAGATAATGGAAGCGGAACTGTGGCATCGAAAAGGCCCAAATTGGAAGAAAATACAGTAACCGTGGGATCCGATATGCAATGCGTAGCGGAGCAGAATAACAACAAGAGCTACAGATCAGCACTACTTCCATTTCCGGCAACTCAGCCAACACATACTGGTTACATCATTTCGGCAACGTTGTTACCATCAGTATCATCGTAATCGTATGTAAAGCATTGTCTTTGTATACCTAGTTTTGCTGCATTTCTTTTTATTAATTTTAAATTTAAATCTCAGAATTTATCTCATTCAGCAAATTCATGACGTTAAATCATCCGTCTGCATGATTCTATCTTACTATTACCCATGTAGAAGTTTGCGTAGTTATAAATATTTCTTGTGACATCCATCCGGTGATTTGTTTGTTTTATCATTTATCCTTTATTTTTGAAGTTTTCAATGATTGTTTTTGAAGTATTTTCAAAGAATAATGTATGGTTATGACCGTATTGATTAAATTAAATTCCTTTCCATCCATTATAGCTGTCTTCTTCGCGTTATCGTCCATGATGTCGTAAGTAAAGATTACAATCCTTTCTTGGTATCTCTAATTCATTTAGGGATATGCTATTTTCAGTCGCTAGAAATATTTGAAAAAAAATGAATCGGACATTTCTTGCTTTGGATATGCTAATTTGACTTTTTTAAACACCGAAATACAAACCAGTCATTCACTTCTGCGTCGTTCCGATGATGGCATCAACATGTCCATATATTAGTCCCACATGAAAGAAATTCATAATGTTGGCCGTTAGCCAATTTGCCTCTGTTTTTAAGCTCTTTAAAGATCGGGTACAGATATTTTTTTTGGCTCGTCATTGTATGGTATTTCTATGCATGCCATAATGGGTAAGATATTTACGAAGTAGCTTCTAAGCATTCCCCATTAATCAGGGCCGGGCTTTGTTATCGAAAAAAGTGAACAAACTATATTTCAACAACGGATTCATTGCTTCTGTGTACTACTGTTTATTCAAGTTATTATTAGTGTGTTTTTCTATCAATGATTCAGTTAATTAGCCGCATATAAACATTTGAGCTTTATTTATAAAGTGCAGAGTGTTTTCTAAAAAAGAAAAGTTCTGAAAAATTGCTTTTAAATAAAAATTTTTAGGTAAATTTTCTTCGTGTGAAATAGTATCGAATTTTTGTTTTTTGTGTGTATGTGTGTTTATTTGCTGATAGTTATTATCATTGATTTTTAATTGCAGTAAGAAATACAGTGTTTTCCCTTGTTATGTCATATTCAAAACACAATGAGAAGAAAAGTTTCACATCCCAAGCAGATTTAGGTACTTGAATATCGGGTTATATCAATAATTTTTGCGAACTGAAATATATATATATATAATAATGATTAATCTAATGACGCAACAATTAAGTCAATGATTAATTTTCAACGAATTAACATTAGCTTTCTTTCAATGATAAACAAATTCAGTACTAATATTTCTGGATTATATTGCATTCAATAATGCAATATTTCCTGTAAAATTTCATCGATCTTTAATAAATATATATGAATATGTTTTAAAATTGAAAAGCTTCAGGAATTCCGTAATTATCTTTATCATTAGCTAATCAATAATAGCAGTTTTTTTTATTCTCATCAATAAATTATTAATATGATTAAGTTGGTCCCTTTTTCTTTTTGCAAATCATCTCTTTTCATCCCTTCTTTGTCTACCACCTCCAATTTCTTCATCATTTCTTTTCCTACAACAAATTGATAATGTGACATGTAGAGTGTGCTGTCTACCACCGTCACTACCATTACCACCACCTCCTACTCATTGAAGCAATACCATCGAAACCTTGCCTTCATCATCGACCCGAGGACAATTTTTTCGTCTGCTGAGTAATTCATAAGGAGTAACCCAAACCATCCAATTTTCCATCTATTTCCCTCATTTTCTCCTTCTCTTCTTTCTCTTCCCTCCTCTTCTACCTCATTTCTCCTTCTCTTCCTACATTCCCCGTTAATCTCTAATATCAGTATTAGTATAATTGTGAAGTTTTTTGTAATTTCATCCTCTAATGAATTTTAATTTTTAAACAAAAAGAAGTGTAAAATTATTATTTAAAAAAATGGATGATATTTGAAAAATTATCTTTGATTTAATAATATTTCTCTTTGCTATTTATTATTGATTAAAGTAATTGTGTTAAGTAATTAATTGAATTGTTTTATTATATTGTTTGGGAAAATTAATATAACGAAATTAATTTAATCGATTTATAGTAAATAATTTATTATAAAGTCTGTGTGTGTGTGTGTGTGTGTGTATTTGTGTTTGTGAATTTATAATATATGTATTTATGTTTAAAATATTAATAGTTTGTTAATACATAAAATTATGAAATATTTTTTGCAAATTTAAAAATCTCATTTTAATGAATTCAAATATTCTGCTGCTACGATAATTATATATTTAACTATTAAATTTCAAGTTTTTTACTCGTTTTTATTACAAATATGAAAATTGCGATGAATAATTGACACGCAATGCCTTTTTCCTAATTTCCCCATTCCATCTGAACTTTTATCTCTCTCCCTTTCCCCCTCCCCCTATCCCGTTATCATCCATTATCTTCTCTTTTCTGATCTAAACATCTGTTGAACGGGAATGAGAATATCGGTTCAAATGATCAGTGCTTTTGTTGTTTCCCAGACCTAACCATTATTGAGCTGGTTAAGATCCCAATTTTACACCCACTTTAACGATGATGGGAATTGTCGTATTCCCATTAATTGTCGCAATTACAAAAATTACCACCTATTTTTTTCCCTTTTTTTTCCACACTTTATTTCGTCTAATCAAACATAAAGGACATGCAGTAAACAAACAAATGAATAAGTAAACAAATAATTAAATGAATAAATAGATAAGCTATATTAACTTATTCATTCATATATTTTATCATATCATATATATTAATTGTTCTTACATTAACTTCAGAATTTTCTTTTTCAAATTTCTCTCTGCAATATCAATTTGACGATTGCTAAATTTCGATTAATTGAAAAGAATGTAACATTCAAAATTCCGAAACATTGGCAATTCATCAAAACAGGGATTTATTACAATAGATAGACAAAAAGTTATTTATTTTGTTGTTGTGCAAGATATAAGAAATCTCGGGACTTTTATCTAATATTGGACGGATAAGATAATATCAATTCTAAAATACCCCTTTTAATCTTTGCAATTGTTGATATTATTAATCGATCACTGCAACTTATTTATTTTATTCCTCATATGCTATTATATATGCTTTAACAATTCAATTCATATTCATCTTTAACTTCAAATTATCACTATTTTTTTCCCCTAGTTATGCTTATGAATTTGTAAGGAAGGCCAAACTTTATATCAGTAATCATAAATCAAAGATAAGAAATTGATTACTGCAATGTTTCGACAACTTTCTAGAAGGCAAAAATTTATGCCCAACCGAATGTTGCTAGATACACATACCATATCACTTTTTTTTCAACTGACAATTGTAGTAACCTTTGGCCCCAGATATATTGATACGACTGAGTTTAACAATCTCCGCTGCTGTAGTGTTTTTCAGTGTAATTTCTAAGAAACTTTATGCCTAGAAATAGCTATTAAGGACAGATATCACATATCAATACTACGCATTTGCTATGACCTTATCTTTATTAATACGATTAAGTTCAAACATTTCTCGCTTTGATGCAGCAATCAGTTAGTGATCGGAGTCCGCTTTGATGCAGTAATCAGTTAGTGATCAGAGTTTAGTCAGTTTGATAATCGATTCCATCCATTCATAAACTTAGGATTTTTCACATGGCAAATTAAAATTATCATTTTATCCTAATTAATTTATAAAAAAATTATCAATGAATTGTTAGGAAAAAAGAACGAAATTAAAATAATTTCTGAGTTGAAAAATAAAAAATAACTGAAAGGTTATCGATGTGTCGCACAACGAAATTTTAGCTGGCTAATTCATTCCTTCGAAATATTTGAAAATTTTTAATTGGCAGATAAATTTCTTGCCAAAGGAAATTTTAAGCAAACTATTATGTAACCATTGAATTTTATTAGTGTTTTAAATAAAATTCATCATTATTTATTAATTATTATATACAAATTAGTATCACATACATTATTCAGTATAATACTGAAAGTATATAACAGTTTATTAGTATTATATCTAAAATGGATTAATATTCTACTCGAAATGATTCCCAGAATTTCTTATCTCTGAAAATTGAAAGATAATATATATTTTATTATCATCTCTGATTACCTTACCCATTGAATAATATTATCCTTCCTAATCAATATTTTTTATTTTTTCCAAAATTGATAACTATCAAAAATTTGAAACTGTATAAAAATTAATTTCTCATGCATTTATATTAAAATTTAAGCAAAAACAAAAAGCCCTGGAAAATTTTTAAATTGAAGTTTTACAAATGTTATGAATAAATTATTCTTTCATTATTTTCCTATCCGTTGGACATTTTCAAATTACCCTAAAATGTTGTGATTTTAATTATATTTCCAATTAATGATTCTTTCATCAAAATGACCAAATAGGAGGCAGTTGATAAGTTTGATTAACCTGAAAAAGATATAAAAATTAAACTAAAAACTGATAATATTACAATTATGAATCAAATCGTACCAATGATGAATTTTCAATCTGCCTATATCAATATCAATCAAATTAAGCCTATTGCTATCTATTTGTTCATTTTTAAAAGAGAGAATTATTTATTAACGATATAATTAAGGTCATACATTTTAGGACAATCTACAAATATCCGACAGGTATGGAAATAAAAAATAACAAACAAATTGATTATTGATTGGATAATTGAATGTAAATTTTGAAAAAGTTAGAAAATTTAAAAATTAATTTTTATGATAAAAACAAGATAAAAAGGTGGAAATAAGGAAGTAAAAAAAAACATAGCGTTATCTTTCACAAATTAAAAAAACACTTTAAGGTATGAATTTGTTGACAGCGTTAAATTTCGGAACAATTTTGAAAGAAAAAAGAGAAAGATTAATTAACAAATTTTTAGTTCAACGCATGAATTTTAGTTTTGGTTAAAATAAAGTTTTATAAATTTTAATTTTAGTATTTTAAAAAATAGGAAATGCTTTTGAAGATAGTAT